TACTCGGTTATCCCTAACATTCTGCAGAGGGTGTTCTTTTCCCACATAACACTTAATACACCAGAACAGAGACACTCCTGAAATTTTTCTTTAAAGGAAGCATTTTATATTTAATTTAGTTTTACCATTTGCTTCCATTGTAATTTGACAGCTGTTTTCCAATGAAAATAAGTTTGACTCCCACACAATGAAAATCCTCTTCAAGAGGCCTAACGTTCTGTTTTCAAAATATGTGACTGCTACATTTAATTCTTGCTGTATTATAGAATATGCCTAACAAAGTTATTATTAAGATTGAATGTTTATGAACATTTACTTAGTAAGTACTCAATAACTGTTAGCATAAGAAAAAACTGATAAACAAACTACCTTACCTTTATTCATCAAAAAATCAAAACAAAACATTATATACATGAAAATAGGATTACCATACCACCCTGAACGCACGGATCTCCTCTGATCTCGGAAGCTAAGCGGGGTCGGGCCTGGTTCGTACTTGGATGGAAGCCTATTTTTCTTTGTAACTTGTACAGATTGAATGGGACTTGAATGTTTAATTCTGGGGTAGGATCTCTCGGCTTTTTCTTTAAAAAAGAAATGCTAGGAAGTAGTATAAAACAAGTTCGAGGTACTTTATCTCTAATATTTGAGTACATATGATGATTTCCCATGTATGAATTCTGTTTCCCTTTCCCTGCTTTCCCCTACCTCTTTCTCTCCCTCTTTCTCTCTCTCCACAACACACACACCCCCACACAGTTTTATTTAAATATCACAACTCTTTTTTATTATTATATCCTAATTTCTGAGATGCATCAAACCTACATTTATTTTCAACAAATGACCAGACATTAAATTAATATTCCTCTGGGCCAAAGTCAAATATCACTAATTAAGGTGTGATGAACTTATGGGATACAAAAGTAAATGTAAAATTTTATTTTAAAAAATAATCAAATGTTAAATACTGACATCATCGTGCAGGAATGCTAGTCTACATGTTAGCTGTTTAGTTTGCTCCAGATAATCATACTGCATATTTAAAAAATCCAAATAGGTATTCACTATTTATAAGCAGTTATTCTCAACAAGCTTAAGTCTCTAGACTCAAAACTGTAAGGAATTTTTATCTTCAAGCAACTTGTGAAGCTCTTTTGAAGCTTGATTATTGAAAATAAAATGTGTTTTGAGACTCTGTTTTCTTACCATACCCTTTCGTGTTTTCATGGATATTGTACCAGATGTGGGGAAATTCTCTTGTCATGAAATTTTAAAATAGCAAAGTTGACATTCTGCTTTTCATTCTTGTCAAAATGTGAAGAATTCCCTAATAGGACTTTTTCTAAAGACTCATAGCTTAAATCATTAATTAAAAATTAAGTCAGTTCTTGGGCACCTGGGTGGCTCAGTTGGTTAAGCGACTGCTTTCGGCTCAGGTCATGATCCTGGAGTCCCTGGATCGAGTCCCGCATCGGGCTCCCTG